GACCAATTACAGAGCGTACACTGTGCGTCATCTCCAGTCTGAAATGCAGAAATGAGGTGGTGTAAGTTTGGGTTGCTTTATTTGTACCAAAAGAGAGATTTGTTTTGCAGTAGAGTGACACAGGGCCGCACAAAAGCAAACATGGACTACCTGACCCTGTGCTGGATCCTCGAGCTGTAAGAGCAGCAGATACTATCAGGTCTTCTAGTTGATGATGTGTGAAAGTGTCTGAGGTGGATTTCTCTGCTGGATCATCTGCTGATCTGCATCAATCATCACCAATACTGCAGAAGACCTACTGGAACCAGCATGAAGCAAGATTCTCATAGAAATCAGTCAAGTTTGGTGAAGGAGAAGTCATGGTTTGGGGTTCATTCAGTATGGAGAGATCTGCAACATCAACAGCCTGAGGTATCAAGACATCTGTGCTGCCCATTACATTACAAACCACAGGAGAGGGACAATTCTCCAGCAGGATAGCGTTCCTGCTCATACTTCAGCCTCCACATCAAAGCTCCTGAAAGCAGAGTGCTCCAGGATTGGCCAGCCCGGTCACCAGAAATCAACATTATTGAGCTGATGAAGGAGGAGGTGTTGAAGATGAACACAAAGACTCTTGATGAGCTCTGGGATCCTGCTGAAGCTTTCTTCTTCATTCCAGATGACTTTATTAATCAGTGATGTGAGTCATGTCAGAGATGTATGGATGCAGTCCTCCAAGCTCATGATGGAGTCAGACACAATATTCATTCTGTCTCCACTGCAGCAGGACTTTATATTCTATACTGGACATTATTTCTGTTCAGTGATGACACTTTAGTCTGAGCAGAGTCAGAGCGCACTGTCCTCATCAAATCAGTCAACATCAAGACATGATCAGATTTATTGAGCTCAAATCAGCAAAATCTAGAGGCCTTCACCTTTCATAGAGACACTTCTGACACCAAATCATCCACTAGAAGAGCAGTTATTATCTGTGTTCCTAAAACATGGAGAGGACACAAGACTTTAGTCAGGGAGTGTGTATGATCTTGTATACCTGGTGTAATACACAGGTGTTTCAGCTATTTTGCAGGTTTCATGTTCACCTTTTGTGCTATGTTGTTTATTTGTCCTCGTGTAGAGATGTTGGTATTATGAGGAACTGCAATAGACCTCACCACTGACCACCTAACATCTGCTGGAAAGTCAGTAGCACAGGTTATTGTGTGTATTTAAAGAGCGCATTAGTGTTATACACACATACAGTGCTTATTACACACAGAGGGATGTGCAGCAATACACACACTTCCTTCACCTCCTAGTGCTTGAGTGGCCACATACACTCATTTGAGCTCTTAAGTGGCTTTTTAAAATACACTGAATGTTTTATATTGAGTTACAGACATACAGGGTCATCCTGCAGTGGTTGTGCAACATATCAAATGTCCCAAACACTATTGTAACTGTCCAAAATGGGGAAAAATGTTGCTTTTACTGTCTGATAGTCAAAACATGTTAAAAAAATTCATTCATTCATTTTCTTGTCAGCTTAGTCCCTTTATTAATCCGGGGTCGCCACAGTGGAATGAACCACCAACTTATCCAGTAAGTTTTTTTCGCAGCGGATGCCCTTCCAGCTGCAACCCATCACTGGGAAATGAAAAAAAAATTCTCTGTTAAATTTGCATAAAAACAGTGAGGAAAAAGTGTTTTATGTAAATTTGCGCCATCAGTCCACATATATAGACATCATTTGTCTCTAAAAGTACATCATATCAAAAGATCATGCTGTATTTAAAGGATTAAAGTGTATATTCATGACAGTTTATTTTTATTAGCAGTAGTAGTGTTTATTATATGCATATTTATATCTGTTATTTGTGTTGCTCCACCTGTGGGGTTTTGGAGGCGTCTGCATCCCTATATAGAGGTACAGCATGTGTGTTTGGACATAGCTCAGTTTTCTGACCACGCTTCATTATCACTGTGCTTTTATGAATTTACCCTAAACTAGAACTGAATTTAGAGGCAGTTTTGACACAAATCTTTGCACTTAACAAAGGAAATGACAAATGAAGCTTGTACAGGCGGTCTTCAGTGGAGTGTGAGTGAGGAAGATTCTGGTCCTGTAGATGCTCTGGAGCTGTTCTCCTGCAGGGTCAGTTTTCCACTCATGAAATCTGTCATGTAAATAGTGAATCCACCATGCAGCGACTCAACTGACTCCTGAAGGGAACGGGAGATGAGGCTTTGATTGGAATATTGCATGTTATGCCTAAAACACCCAGAACTCCTCATCAGAATGAACACAGCCTGTGTAGACTAATGCGCCTGGTGCAGCAACTGTTTCCCCATCCTGAAAACAGCCAAAGTGGATTTGACACAGCAAGAAGGTCTCTGGTTTGAGTCTCGGCTGGGTCAGTTGGTGTTTCTGTGTGGAGTTTGCATGTTCTCCCCGTGTTGGTGTGGGTTTCCTCCGGGTGCTCCGGTTTCCCCCACAGACCAAACACATGCGCTATAGGGGAACTGATCAACTACACTGGCGTTACGTGTTACAACGTGTGTGTATGTGTGTGTGTGGATAAGCGTGCATGGGTGTTTTCCAATGACGGGTTGTGGCTCGAAGAGCATCCGCTGTGTAAAACATATGCTGGATAAGTTGGCAGTTCATTCCGCTGTGGCGACCCCTGATTAATAAAAGTACTAAGCTGAAAATGAATGAATGAATGAAGGATTCAGACTCAGACTTATTGAACATCCGCTTCAGACTGCTCTTAGATCAGTATGATCGAGTCCTCTGTAACGGGTCTTCAGGTGTTCAGTCCTCTCTCCAAAAATGCTGAAGAGAATAACAGAAGTGCAGCAGGTCTACTGCAGATGATCAGAGAGGAGCGGACACCACGACTCCTAATGTTCAATTCAGAACACAAACTCTGTCAGTTCCTCCGTCCTCATGAGCTGTGGATCTATAGAGAACACGGCTCATCATCATCATCATCATCATCATCATCATCATCATCATCATCATCATCATCATCATCATCATCATCATCATCATCATCATCATCATCAGTCCTGTTAGTGAACTCTGTCAATATCAGAGGAGAACTACAGTAAGAGGAGAATAGTCAACACAGAACATGCTGCTGGTGCTGTCTGTTTCTAGAGCTCGTATTGTAAACAGTGTGTGTGTGTGTGTGTGTGTGTGTGTGTGTGTGTGTGTGTGTGTGTGTGTGTGTTTCCCTCCGTCTGTCTGTTGTTTATACTCAGTGTTGTCTTTTGTCTGTGGTTGTGGAATGTCACACATGCACTCCATCATCTGAGTTTGCTGATCTGAGACCTGCGGGAAAACAAACACACTATCTACCTATTTATCCCTCCATCCATCTGTCTATCCATCTATCTATCTGTCTGTCCATCCGTCTGTCCATCTGTCACACACACTGTTGGTTATCTGCAGGAATGGTGTGTGTATTTCGGCTCTGTCCAGACTGCAAATCCACACACACTCAGTATGTATGACATACACAATTGTGTGTGTGAGATATACAGTGCTGATGTATGTTTGTGTGAGTGTTATATAAGAGTGTGTATGATATACATGAATGTGTGTGTGTTACATAAGTGTGTGTGTGTGTGTGTGTGTTATATACAGTGCTGATGTATGTGTGTGTGTGAGTGTTATATAAGAGTGTGTATGATATACATGGATGTGTGTGTGTTACATAAGAGTGTGTGTGTGTTATATACAGTGCTGGTGTGTGTTTGACACATGATCAGTGTCTGGTATCTTTAGCGCCACCTTGAGTGCAGTGCTCGGACACAGTTACAGTAGAGCTGTTCTGAATGGATCTTCAGCTGAGTGATTGTCCAGTCTGTGTTTCCCTCTGCATGTCTGTATACGCTGTGATCACACCTGTATGGCAGATTAAACACTGATATTGATGAGTGTGTGTGTGTGTGTGTGTGTGTGTGTGTGTGTGTGTGTGTGTGTGTGTATGTGTTGTGTCTGCAGTGTTTGGATGATAGCTGTGTTATCTGTGATCCAGTGATCCTGCAGGGCAGGGGTTCCCAAAGTTTTCAGCCCGCAACCCCCAACATAACCCTGCCAGTGTCTCGCGAGCCCCAGTGTCCTCTGAGGTGGTTATAAATACAGTATATGAACTGCACACAGCGGTGCAGACGTATCAACAGGCCCGAGTCTATTCACGGTTTAATTCAGGAGAACAGCCCTCAGAGGTCCTCCACCGTGTTCAGTTGTGGCCGGGGTCATGTGTGATGTCTGTGAGGGCTGTAAAGGGTCAGAAAGCTCAGTCTGCTGTGTCTTTAATGTCATGTAATCACCCCGGGGCGCTGTGTAAACACAACTAAAAAACTAATAAATAAGTTACGGCTGATGGCTGTTTATTTGCATGTTGTTTATTATGAACATGTTAACAATCTTATTATTAACCACTGTTGTGTTCTTCTGTAGAGTATGGAGAAAGTCTGCTCATTCCAGTAGTTTAATAAACTTAATGTGTTTTTGTAAATCACCAAGTGACCCCTTTTATTATCCTGCAACCCCCTGAGGGGTCCCGACCCCTAT